TTTGGGCCCAAAAAAAAATCTAGCCTATCGATAAAAGCCTCGCACATTTTGCCCATCATTTTTTTCCAACACTAGAGAAGTTTGCCCATTGGTCTAAAAATCCCGGATACGCCACTACCTCCATCCTTAGCCTGACAAAAAAGAAAAGTTCTCTGAATACATTGTATTTTTTGTGGTTGACTACTCATGGAAGTCTCCTGTAATGATAATACCATTCTGTCTTTTTTTACAACATTTTTTTCTTAGAACTGAAGTTTGTTTTTTCTACGCATCAATAAAAACATTAACCCTTCACTTTCCTCTCTCCTTCATTCGTTCGTTCTTTCTTTCTTTCATTGCCAATGCATTTCTTCGATGATCACTTTTGCATGGCATACCGGCACATTTAATAGGCAGCTTCTCTCAATATTTTTCTTTTTTGCTCTTTTGGTGCACGTGAAAGTAACCGTACAGCAACAAACATCACATACGAACGTTGAATATTTGACAAGCTATTCCAGCATCGCAAACATCGACAACTATTGACAACAACGATCACCGAAAGCACAGTGCTCCTTATTATTTTTCTGCTGATATTGCTGGTCAGAATTGCAATGGCATAAATTGTTTAGTTTCCATGTGAACTTAGATCATGGTACGAACTCGATCTACCTGCTATAGATGACTAAAATATTTGAAAAAACACTCTGATCAGAATTATTAATTTGCCATGTATTCATCAATTATATCACGAACTGAAAATTTTTTCGCTGACGTGAAGAAGATATTTGAATAGTGTCTTAATTATAATTATTCATTTGACATGTGATCTTCACTGATGCCATCAACTCTAATACTTATCTTCAAATTATCCCAATATTCCAATGGAATCTTTGTTGTACTGAATGTTTGATTTATTCATTTGTTGTGTAATCTTCGATTGTGCTATCCACTTAAATTCTTTTCTTCCAAGTTAACATAATATTTTAATGGAATCTTTGTTTGGTCAATTCATTTGCTGCGCGAACTTCGATGATTTCAGCAACTACTAGTTCTTTTTTTCAAGCGATCAAAGCATTTCAATGGAACCATAATAAGAATTATTTATTTTCTGCATATCTGTCATTTATATCACCAATTTCACATTTTTCTTTCGATGTAAATAACATATTTAAATATCACCATACGTTGTATCATTTATTTATTGAACGATCTTCGATGATATAATCGACTTTAAATTTTTTCTTGGAAGTGCGCAATATATTCGAATGAATTCTCTCTGTTCATGAATTATTCGATTGTCTAGTATTCGTCCATCATAGTATTCAACTCTAAATTCGTGCTTCGAATTGAAAAAAATATTATAATAGAATTTTGATATAAATTCCTCTTTCGTCATGTGTTCATCGGTCATGTAAACAGCGGCAGATCTTTTCTTCGAATTGAGAAAAATTTTTGAATAGGATCTTCGTATGAATTATTCATTGGTCGTGTGTTTGTCAATCATGAGATCAACGCAAAATCTTTAGTTCAAACTCAGTAAATTATTTCGATATAATCATGGTATGAATTATTCATTTGCCCTATGTCGTCGATCATATTATCAATTGCAAGTCTTGCTTCAAGTTTAGCAAAATATTTGAATAGGATTTTCCTATGAATTGTTTGTTTGCTGTGCCTTTTTCGATCATGTAATCAACGCCGGAACTTTGCTTTCGAATTCAGTAAAATATTTCAATGAAATCTTTGTATGAATTTTTCATTTGTCCTGTATTCATCAATCATGTAAACCACTTCCAATCCGTAGTTTAAATTGAGATAAATATTTGGACAGAACGTTTTTATGACTTCTTCATTTGTCGTGTATTCTCCAATCATATAATCCACTTCAAATCTTTTCTTCGAATTGAGCAAAATATTTGAAGAGGAATTTTTTATTATGTGTTCTTCATTCGTTATGTTTCCTTCGATCATATGATCTACTCCAAATTTGTACTTCTCAATGAGAAAAATATTTGAATAGGATCTTTTTTAGAATTATTCATCTGTCATATATTCTTCAATATCATAATCACCTTCAAAATTTTGTTTCAAATTCAGCAATATACTGGAATAGAATCTTTGTGTGAATTATTCATTTGTCTCGTGTTAGTCGATCATGGGATCAATTCCAAATTTTTGCTTTCAATTGAGCAAAGTTTTTAAATAAAATCTTTTTCCTTGTGCTATTAATTCTTCATTTATCGTATGTTCTCCAAAATCATATGATCCATCGCAAATCTGTGCTTCGAATTGAGGAAAATATTTGAATAGGATCTTATTATGAATTATTTATTTGTCCTATGTTAGTTGATCATATCAATAACCTGTGAATCTGTGCTTCGAATTGAGGAAAATATTTGAATAAGATCTTATTATAAATTATTCATTTGTCACGTGTTCATCAATCATATAATCCATTCCAAATTGTTGCTTCGAATTTAACAAAATATTTGAATACACTCTTGCTTGTATGAGTTATTAAGTTTTTCTGTGTTTGTCAATCATATAACTAAATCAAAATCTTTGCCTCGAATTCAACGAAATATTTGAATAGGACCTTTGTTTGAAGTATTTATTTGTCATGTGTTCATTGATCATGTAATGAACTATAGATCGATGCTTGGAATTGATCAATATATGTGAACATGACCTTTGTTTGAAATATTCATTTGTCGTGCGTCCATCGATGATGTAATGAACTATGGATCGATGCTTAGAGTTGAGCAATATATTTGAATAGACTCTTGCTTCTATGAGTTATTATTTTTTTCTGTATTTTCAGTCATGTAATAAAGTCCAAATCTTTAACTCAAGTTGAGCAAATTATTTGGATAGAGTCTTGATATGAGTTATTCATCCAACTTGTGTGAGTTGATCATAGTCATACGTTCAGCCATCGTTCGCTCGACGTGAGAACAATACTTGAATAGAGTGTTGAAAAATAAGACAGGTATGGCGTGTCAATAGTATTTCGATGATAACCATCAAGAGTATGTTCTGATATTTTATTCGATCATTCGTATATTCTTCTTTGAGTTTATCATTTCCAGTATTTTATGATCTTGAATTAATTCAGTACCCTTTCATTTTTAGAGATCATATGGCACAAACACAAGTGCATAAAGAAAATCGAACATTACCATAAACCATTATGAAGATCAATGAACATTGTCGACTAGTTAGTATTATTCTGCCATATTGTCGATTATTTTTCTTTTTTTCTTTTTTCTGTATTTTTTACAATTTTTAATTCTAATAAAATATACCTACTGGAAACGCGTCCTACTTAGCTTCTTCAGAACAGTATCAAATATCTACAATTTGAGGGTAAAGGCGTGAATCTAGAATATTCCTCTGATAAAACTAGGAGAGCTTTCAGCTACTACGGCCGATTTGGACCCTCAGAAGGCGGCGTGAGGTCTTCATCAGATAGCAATACACTTTGTGCTAATATTCACTTTGTACATATATGTAATATTATATCATCAATCATAATATTAAAAATATTCGAACAAGCGCCACAATTATCATCATTAGTTATTAAAAAAACTACTTCAATATTGTGGGTGTGGGTGGGTGTGAGTGTCCTTCATCTCTAGATTCATACCCACACACCCCACACCCACACCCTTTTCACCGATTATTAATTAATGTTTTTCGAGTATTTTTCATAGAAAAACTGCCGTTTTCGTATAAAAATTTGATATAAAGATTAGAATATTGAGTGATTTCTCCGTAAAACGGCTGTAGTTGACTGATTATTAATTAATATTTTTGAGCAAGAAAGTATTATTGTAAGGTAGTCGTCTACTCTTGGAGAATTCGAAAAAAATATCATGTATCTCACGTTTTCGAGGATATCAAAGTCATCGAAAATTAAGTCAACTCTTTTTTTCATGTACACGTGTAAAAGACTCTGTTTGGTGACATGTCAAACGCTTAGCTGCTTACCGATAAAAGCATACTACTACACAGCTGTGCCGCTGATTCACTCTCCATATCTTTTCATTTTTGTGTTCGTTCGACGAGCATTGTTTCAGTCGCTTTTATTTATTTATCGACACACACTATCAACATGGTGTTATCCTTGACTGTAGCCCTTGTCATCATTCTACTCCTATGTATTGTGTATTTCATCATTCTTCATTTGGTACGACATGCAAAACTACAAAGCGACTATCGTACAATTCTATCTCTTCCCATTTCACGTATACCTTTCGTTGATAACTTACATCAAATCGATAAAGAGTCACATTTATTTCTTCGACTTCTTCGAATGGCGAATGAATGTCAACAATAACAGACAAGTATTTTTTGTCTTTGGTTTTTTTTTCGATTTTGCAAAGAATTTTATGGGCCATTATATTCCGGCCCAAGTGCTGATCCTTGCTGGATAGAAACTTTTGAAAACGAATGGGGGCCGAAAATGGCCTTATACGGACATGTACTTTGTGGAATCTGCAATTTCTTTCCTTGTTTCTCTTTGCCTCACATGAAACTTTCACTTCTTTCTTGATTATGTCTTACGAATAGACGAAAGAAAAGAAAGAAAGAAATATGAAACGAATGAAAGTGAAAGTTTCGTCTTAACATTTTGTTTTCGTAAGAACACATGTCTTGCTATATATCAAATGTAACAACGAAAGAAAACTAATAGGTAGACACAAGACGAAACGAACGAAAAAAATATAACGTTAGTCTTTTATCTCATCTCTAATGTGTACTTAAAGGTGTTTATATCCATTATCTCATTTAAATGAATACATCTAGCCATCAGATTTCATTCCTTTATAGAGACGAAAAGCACGGGTGCCTTATCTTTCTATAACTGTTTTTCTTTCTTCTCTCTTTCTACTTTTTGATGTGTAAGGTATTCAAGTATAGCTTTCAGTTTTTTTTCAGTTTATACTTAATACAAAAATACGCAACCCTTGCTAAAGGCTGAGATTATTGAAGAGTACTAAAAACAGCGATTTCAAATGGATACACCGAACATGGCTATTCAACAACAGCACACCAATTTAACTTACTACGAAGAACTGCAACAATCATTGGGTCCAAGAGCAAAATTGTTCTTGCCAACGACAGACGGCTATTCACAAGCAAAAAGAATATGGAATGGCATGTTTGACAATCATAGTCCAGCACTGATAGTGCAAGTAACCGGTGTTGCTGATGTTCAAGCTGTTCTTAAATTTGCACATCAACGTAAGTATATCGAAACTCGCTCGAAAAACCATGATTCATTTAATGTTGTATGTTGTAGGAGGATTAACTGTAACTGCTAGAGCCGGCGGTCACTCATTTTCAGGCCTTTCCACTATTCATGACGGTATCGTTATCGATTTCATTCAAATGAAAAGTAAACTAAATTTAACGAAAAGAGAAGAACCACACCATATTGCTGTTGATTTTTTAGCTGTTATTGTAAATCCAGAGAAAAAGGAAGTCCTTGTTGAACCCGGCGTTGTACTTGCAGAGCTAGATCATGAAATCCAAGCGTTTGGTTTGGCAACTCCAACAGGTATTTTCATTTGTATATTCACTTCGATTTTTGTTCAATTTTTATATATTTATTTAACTATTTAGGTGTTGTTAGTTTTACTGGTGTGTTTGGTTTAGTGTTGGGAGGAGGTATTGGTTGGCTTTCAAGAAAGTTTGGTGCATCTGTTGATAATATTTTGTCTGCAAATGTGGTTTTGGCCAATGGAAAACATGTGACCGCTTCTGCAGATGAGAATTCTGATTTATTTTGGTATTGTTACTTCGTTGGTATTGAAAGCTCATCCAATTGGGTTGTGCTATCGAGGAGATTATGTAAGTATATGTACTATAATGTATCTCCAAACCATATAACATGTATATATTTTGATAGTATTACCCTATGTCTCAAACTAGACAAATTTTATTTGGTGTAAACAACTACATGAAGACAGCACCAAGAGAATTCGCTTGTGAACTATTCAGTGGAATGCGCATCGACGGGGATCGAGAAATGTATCTTAAAGTATCATATGCGTTTTATTTGCCAGAAGGTGAAGCTGAAAAAGTGGCTGAACCACTAACAAAACTTGGATCACCAGTTCAAGAATCTTGGGTGTGGATAACTCATGTACAGGTAACATAATTATTCACTTTATTACCCTAGCATTCGCTATAAATTCATTGTAAATTGTAGAATCAAAAATTATTTGATGTTAATTTTGGGGAGCATCGAAAATATTATGCTAAGTCAGGTTCAATTGACTTCGATGATATGACGATTGAATTTGTGGATTCTATTGTTGAATCAGTAAACAATTTAACTCCACCTTATTCAATAGTCGAATTAGTTACTATTGGCGGTAAAATGAAAGAAACATCAGCTGATGAAACTTCTTACTTTCATTTGAGAAAACAAGATTGGCTGGTTAATATAATTACATCGTGGTGTGAAGGCAATGGTGATGAGCATATAAATTGGTGTAGAGAAACATACAAAAAACTGACTGCAAAATCACGAGCAGCTTATATAAATTTAATGATGATGGATCCGCCCACTGACACTACGTATAAGGAACAATTGAATAATGCATTTGGATCAAATCTAAATAGGTTAAGAAATATTAAAAAGAAATATGATCCTTTTAATTTTTTCCGTCATAATCTAAATCTGTTAGCAGCTGATGATAATAATGATAATTAAATTACAAGTACGATTGTTAGTTAGATTCTACTGTAGTTGCTAGTCTTTTTTGTTGTTGTTGCGGATGGTTGTTGGTTAACTTTTTCTTTTCGACTTATCTAGAAAAGACTACTCTCTAAAACATTTTCATATTGTACTGTTACATTCTTTTACGCATCTTTTCTCTTTCGTTCGTTTTCGTCTGGATTAGATCATTGTTATTTTTTACAGTCCGCTATCCTCTCTATTTGTTTGACTACTTGTTTTGTTCTATTGCGCACTTTTTTCTCTTTGTTTGTTTCCTCGCGATCAAGGCATCGTCATGGTCTACAGTTCGTCATTCTCTTTACACGTTACCACTTTCGCGTTCAATTCTTTTGCGTATTTCATTTTGTCAACGTACGATCATTTCTATTCCTCTTTTCACCTTGTTTGACTCCGCTCGTTGTTTTCCTTTTTCACCGTCTAAATACAGGGTGTCCTAAAAGTTCCCGAGAAAAGTTTACGTAAATGTCTTTTAAACAGCTCAAGCAATTTATATATTATTTTTAATAATATTATAGTATATTCTTTGAAGTTTTACTGTGCACATTTTCAGATAAATCTGTGCTTAGAAACATTAAAATAAAAATAGTTTTGTTAATAGCCAGATTTGAGTTACCTGTCGTTGTGAAAGGAAAAATGCAAGTCGCATTTGGCATACAAATGTCAAATATAGACTGTACTAGAGATGCTCTTTAAGAGAGGGTCCATGAGACCCTCACCCAACGTGGTCGCCGAAAAATTTTAATTTTTTCAAATCAAATAGCTAGTTTGAAAGAGCGTAAAAAGTTACTTGGAAACCCAAGGTTTTACGATTTTTAGACTAAGTCTTTGAGTACTTCAACGATTCGCTTGTTTGGTCACGAATTATCAGGTTATCAAAACCTATAGTTTTTCCTTCATTTTTGTTTACGAGTTTTTTTAACACAAAGAAGTAATCAAAGTTATTATCAAATTATACCGATCGATAAAGCAAAAGAAGCTCTACAAAACCCCATATTTCATCTACCTTATTATGCCCTTTCAATGTTAAAAAAATTCATTGTAATAGGTAAAATCAACCATTTTTTTGGTCTATTTTCATACTGGTTTTTTTCGTTTTTAGTTCTCTTATGTAGTTAGTTTTCAAGTGCCCAAGATAAACTTTATACAATTTTGTAGAGCATCAAAAGGCGCATCTTTTGGTAAAAAAATAATGACTCTAAAACACTAGCGACATCCCAAAAAGTCCTTGAGAATGTTGCTCACTAGATGCAGTTTTTGTTATTTTCATGAAAATCTATTTTTCAAATTTTTTATTGGAAGACCAATTATTTTTGAGAAATCTGGAATTATTTGATAGAAGCTTTAGCACGCTTTTGGAAACACGATCAAACTATCATCTTCTCATTTTGTTTTCTGCTAATATTCCAATAGAAGAACAAAAAATATCTAAATCAATGTATTTCTTTATGTATCGGTTGCGTGTCTCAACTAAAACATCTTCGTTAAACTTAAAGTTTTGCTTGCAAATCAATATGAAACAAAACTATATTAAATCAATTAAATATATTTGACAATTTTTTTTTGTAGAATACTACGCATATACATCATCATAATATGAGCATTATGATTGTCGTCTATTATTATAGAAGTTTATATTGATTTTTTATAATTTTCTGCATCTCTTTTACATCACACTGGTTTCTACACCATAGCTATTGCTATAAAGTTCCTGGATGATTTGATATTAGCAATATCCCATTAGTTATCACCTTCATGATCATTACATATTCTTTTTTTATCTTTTGGATAAATGATAAAAGACTATATTAAACAGAATAGCTGTAACAAAAAAGATTAAGGGAATGTTTGAAAGTAAAGCTAATTGACTGACACGTCCGCAGTATTTTAGACAAAAAAGAAAGTAGAAATAGTAAATAAATTTAGAAAAGGATTAGAAAGCGAGCAAGTTGCATTCTACTAAGTAACAAGAACATATCCTGCGTTTAGTTCAAGGAGAACCGCTGTTGCGATTCATTTATATTAGTAGTCAGATCAAACCATATTGGCAAGGTAATGATGCTTGACAAAGCTAACTAGATTGCTCTTGTGAAAGCATTTCATCGAGAGTATGAATAGCTTCATTGAGAAGTTCATAAGCTTCAAAACTCGAACCTGCTGAATCAAAATCATTGTTATCTTCATCCTCTTGTGATTGCCGAACATTATCATTGATGGAAGGGATGTTAGATTTTCCGGTAGCTGTTGGTAATTCGTCGGTATTTTTACGGCGTTCTCGTGTTAGTCGAAAAAAATATGACCTTTGAGGAGAATAAGGGTGTGGGTGTGGGTGTGGGTGTGGATGTGGGTGTGGGTGTGGGTGTGTGGGTGTGTGGGTGTGGGTGTGGGTGGGTGTGGGTGTAGGTGTAGTTAGGTGTGGATAGGATATTTGGATCCCATACCCATACCCATACCCATACCCACATCCACACCCACACCCACACCCACACCCACATCCACATCCAGACCCACCCACACCCACACCCCCACTCACACCCACACCCACCCACAATCACACCCACTCCACACCCACCCAGGCCCACACCCGCACTCCACACCCTAGGTACGGCAACTTCTGGAAGCTTTGCGAGTATTTTAGAGGATTAAAAAAAACGCAAGAACTTTGTTGACAACCTAATATTTTCACGATGAATATGAGGAACCAATCGTATGCTCTTGTTCCAATAATACAAAACTGAAATATGGTGATTTTTTAAGTTACTAGTTGACGGCATAATTGAATAAATATATATCGAAAAGGAAAAAAATCACACGTCTATATATACAACGTGTAGTATGTCTGTCGAGGGTTTAGCCCTCAAAAAATGACTTTTGTAGTTACTTGTAATAGTGGAGAAAAACGTTTTAAGAAAAAGAAATGTTTTTCCAAGTTTTTTGCAAACATCTGTATATTCAGATGCAATTTCACATGGGCTACAATATTTTATCAGTGAAATTTTATCATGGACAAATTAAAAGATGATTAAGACTGAAACATCACTAAGTTATGCATTATGTTGATCACAAAGTAGTGCATTTTTGATAAAAAGTCTTAGAACGTATCTCTGCCAATTTAAGTGCTTCTCTTAACTTTTTATAGTCAAAATGATCAGCGAAAAAAAAACTCTATAAACGCTGAAAATTCGACGTGTTTTGAAGCTCTTCATTATAACAATGGTAGGATTCCTACGGAATTATCGTTAAAAAATAATATTTTGCGAATACATCAAATAATAAATGTATGCTATTAGATAGTTCATATGAGTAGATTACTGTGGAACTAAATCAAAAGTCTCCCAACTATCGACAGAGTTGCGATTTGCAATTAATGCGCCGTTTCCAAAATCTTCAGCACAAACATAGTTTCCATTAACTGCTATAAAAGCTACCTTTCCATTGCCACGATCAATCATTTGAAAAGTTTCCCATGAACTAATTGAGGCACGGTTGGCTATTAAAGGACTATTTCCTCCATTTTCAGCACAAACATATTGTCCATTGGCATGTGATTTCAAAGCGACATTACTGCCATCTCGAATGATAAGATCGAATGTTTCCCAACCTGAGGCAGAATCACGATTAGCAACTAGAGAACTATTTCCAGCATTATCAGCACAGACAAATTTCCCATTAGCGTTCGATCGAAGGGCGATAGCTCTGGACGTTCTAGGTGTACTGATGATCCCAGCACTTTCCTCAGAAATATCATATATTTCAAGATTAATATTGGTGTCATGTGTACCATGTGAGCTCGCATGATCGTCGGGAATAAGATATCCATTTCCTTTCGTTACCTTACGCCGATAGTAAGCTATCAATTCATCGTTCCGTCCACCTGTGTATGGCTCCGTTGGAACGAGTACGTCATTACCATAGGAATCTTTGATCTTGAATTTTGCTGGTGCTTCTGCCCATAGGTCGTTTGCCATACCAGTGTGTAAGGTACCATCGCTACTTGTAAAAACCATAGACCCATTATATCCGCGAATAAGACTGATATCTGCAAATGCCATATTTTGCCATGCATTAAAGTGAATTTCGGCCCATGTTGCTGGATCATTTGCAGCACCGGAGAGTTTTTGAATGCGTCCTTCCCATCCATTCTCGAGTATCACTGATTGGCTTTCATGCGGCCCGACTTCAATAACCTTTTCGGCATCAAACGATGGTTGATAAGGTCCACGATTCTTGAAAAAACCTATCTTTGCAGGCTTCGCGCTACGATTTATTATTTTTACTGAGTTCGACATTATCGAATCAATGAGAATACGACGATGTTAGTTATACACACAGAATGTCATTATGATTCATTGAGTGTCGTCATTATGATTCATTGAGTGTCGTCATTCTGTTTCATGGGAAAAAGGAAAAAATACACTAGTGAATGACTCAGATGATGGTTTTTTTCTTTCTTTATATTTCGCGTTACATACCTCATACTCTGCTCTCAATTAAGCTGACAACAAAAAAAAAGGTTTTGACATCATTCATATCATATTCAACGGGAATGAAACGTGGTCTTGCCTGGCCATTGGAAAATAAACAAGATTCACCGCATCTGTTTGCCAACGGTGCAGTCAAATGGTTCTACAATTGGTCGTCCGACAAGAGATCAGATGTCAATCTCGAATTTGTTCCTATGTATTGGAGTGCTAATAAGGAAGATCAAATTCAATTTACTAGTAAAGTCCGCTCTCAAGGTGCTACGGTTATATTGGGCTTTAATGAACCAGAACGAGATGAACAAGCTAATATGAGTCCAGGCGATGCTGCTCGTGTGTGGAAACAACACATTGAACCACTAGCTAATCAAGGAGTTCGATTAGGATCACCTAGTGTTGCTAGTACTGAAGAAGGTCTTAACTGGCTTCAAGCTTTTCTCAATGCAGGTTGTCACATTGATTTTCTTGCTTTACATTGGTACGGCCGTGGCACAGACAATTTTCTTCGCTTCATTACCAAAGCTCACGAACGGTTTGGTAATAAACCAGTGTGGGTGACTGAGTTTGCATGTACTTCTTGGAATGCAAGTCAGCCCGTTTCACAAGAGGAAATCAATGACTTTTTCAGTCAATCTATACAAAATCTTGACAGTATCGACTGGGTCCAACGGTATGCATGGTTTGGAGCTAAACGTCATCTTGATGCGGCACTCGGTTCAGGAAATTGTTTAATCGATCCCAATGGCAATTTATCGGAACTAGGAAAAAGATATATGAATGGGTAAGATCGAATACAAATTGAATTTGAGTTTTGTAACTTTTCTCTGAAAAAACTTCAGGGGAAACATTCGAATCGTCAGTATACCTAAAACATCCAAAGTTATCGCCCTTCGATCGAACGCTAATGGGAAATTCGTCTG